GCATCAGAGGAGCAGGAAGGCTGACGTTTCGGGCCTAGACCCTTCTTAGAGATTGTAGGAACTGCAGATGCTGGAGAATTTGTCTAGGCCCAAAACGTCAGCCTTCCTGCTCCTCTGATGCTGCTTGGCCTGCTGTGTTCATCCAGCTCTACATCTTGTTATATGAGTTTTCAGTTCCTCTCTTTGAACTACTTCAACAAATCTTCACTGTGAGGGGAATGGAACGCTTTGAATTTCGGCATTTTATTTTGGCCACCAGTAGATCTTTCTAGGAATTTTGCTAGAGCACTAGAATAGGCAGGCCAAAGGAGTAACAGTTGTGAACCTATCCTGAAAAGATCATGTGAAATTCATTTCCGATTATTCAAATAAATTAAACAGATCAGGAAATAATTTCAAAATTTCAGCCATCTATATAGGTTACCCCTACTATGTTGAAACATTTATAATTTGAAAGATAAGGCAGAAATTAATGTGTTTCACTGTTGGGGAAAATGCGTGTATTAATTATGGTGAATGTAAACTGGTTTAAATGCATGAGTTTGGAACAGATACCTTGTCTAATTAATCTAGTTGAATTTTTTTGATGAGATAATTAGCTAAAGAATACTATGGGATTCTATTATAATCTTAAAGCACATAGAATTGCAGATAATCTTGTGACATGAATTGTTAGTCGGCTGGCTTAGTGGAGACAGAAGGAAGCACTTTTTGCGGAATGTGCGAATGGTCTAATACAGTGATCTGAACTGTTGGCTCAGCTTTTCAAGAGTTGTATATTCAGATCCCAACAGTCTACTCTTGACCACCAGTGCAGTGATAGAGGGAGTCATCAACAATGCTATCAGTCGGCACATGCTGAGCACTAACCTCTCACTGACGTTCAGTTTGGGTTCTCCAAGGGTTGCTCAGCTCTAAATCTCATTCCAGCCTTGGTTCAAACGTGGACAAAGGAGCTGAGTTCCAGAAGCCAGGTGAGAGTGACTGCCTTGATGTTAAGGCCACATTTGACTGAGTGTGGTATGAGGCAATCCTAGCAAAACTAGCGTTAGAAGAAATTAGGAGAAAAGCATTCCATTGGTTGAAGTCATATCTAGCACAAAGGAAGACACTTGTAGTTTTTGGAGGTCAATTATCTCTGCATTAGGGCATCTCTGCAGAAGCTCCTCAGGGCAGTATCTTAGGCCCAATTATCTTCAGTTTCTTCATTCAACTTCCCTCCATCATAAGGTGAGAAGTGGGGGTGTTTGCAAATGTTTGTACAATATTCAGCATCATTTATGATGACTCAGTTTCTGAAGCAGTCCATTTCCAAATGCAGCATGATATGGACAGTATCCAGGTTTGGCTGAAAAGTGGCAAGTAATATTTGGACCATACAAGTGCTGGGCAATGATCATCTCCAACAAAGTGGAATCTAATCATTGTCCTTTGATGTTCAATGGCATTATCATCATTGAATTCCACATTGTCAGAATCCAGAAAACTGGACTAGCTATTTAAATACAGTGGCTAAAAGGGCAGGTCAGACACCGGGTATCCAGTCTAACTCACTTGACTCCTCAGAGCCTGTCCACCAATTACCAGGCACAAGTCCAGAATGTGATTGAATGGATCCCACTAACCTGGATGAGTGCAGCTCCAACACCAATAAAGAAGCTTGACACAATCCAGGACGAATCAGCCCACTTATTTGACACCACATCCACAAACTTCATTCCCTCCATCACCAACATTCAGCAGCACCACTGCAGAAAGTCACCAAGTCTAATTAGGTAGCACCTTTCAAATCCACAACCACTACCATCTGGAAAGACAAAGGCAGCAGGTACAAGGGAACAACACCACCAACAAGTTACCCTCCAAGCCACTCACCAGCCTGACTTGGGGAAAAAATCACCATGCCTTCAGTGTCACTTGTTCAGAATCCTGGAATCCCTTACTCATGGCATTGTGGGTCATAGACTGCAGCAGTTCAAGAAGGCAGCTGGGATTAAATACTGATCCAGCCAGTGAATTCCACATCACGTTAATGAAAAAAGTTAAAGATTTCAAAAACCTGTGGTTGATGGATTTTTGTTAGGGAATGGTAGACAGTCATAGAGTCATAAAGCATGGAAACAGACTCTTCAGTCCAACAGGTCCAAGCTGACAATAATCCCAAACTAAAATAGTCCCACCTGCCTGCTCTTGGACCGTATCCCTCCAAATGTATCCACATTCATGAATTTAAAATGGCAAAGAGAGTTGAAATATATCTCAGCTTTGATTTGATTGAATGGTACAGCAAACTGGAGGAATTGAATGACCTGTTCCTATTATTATATATATGTGATGAACATGATATTATAATATTTGGCAAGACAGTAATTATGATGTAAGCTCTGTATAATGAGAAAAGCTGATCATAAATGGTTTGATTGCAACTATGAGGTGTACCTAATTTTAAAAACAATTTGGTAAACATTTGGATGTTTGAAATATTCTGTGTATTAAACAATTTATTTTTGTTCTTAATTTGACTTTCATTTGCCTCGTAGCAGTTATGACACAATTCCTGGGAATAGCAGTGAATAGCAAATATGTCCTTTGCAGGTATTTGTCTGAATTATGTGGGATAGGATCTAGTGCGCTGGCAATAAACCGAGGAAATTCATCATCTTTCCCCACTGTAAGTTCTTCTGGTTTTTTTTTTCACTCATGTAGATGTTGCCTTCTTGGTTGTGGTAATTTTTCTATGTTTTCCTCTGATACATTTTCTAAGTAGGCCTGTGAGCACTAGCTGGCCATTCAAATGTACGTAAACAAAAATAAGCCTAATTCTGCCCTCCTGCAAATGTGCACATGTAAAGGCACACATGCAATTCCAGTAGGAGTTTACTTGTGAATAATCAGGAACAGTGACCCCTTTTTAAGTTTGTTTTACTTTCATCATATAGGGGTACATACTAACCATTTACACCTTGACCAGTTTCATGAAATTTAACACACAAGACTTGTTCTCATCTTACCAATTATAATCAGATAAATTTTATCTTGGTAATATTTGGCAATGAATAGTACTCTTTTTACCCTGAATAAGAAGATCTAATTTAATGGTTTCTGAACTTGCTGCACACTGAACAATGGCAGCTTGGAAGAAAGCAGAAAGAACTTGAGTTACCAAGCATCACATGGCTAGTCATGTACTTTTGAAGTATATTCACTGTTTAAATATAAAAGAAAATCTATTGCGAAGAAATCATGAAGCCGTTTACCCTAGGAACAGTGAGGATCAGGGTGGAGTCAAATTGTTTTACCCCAGATTCAGAGATTAATTAGGAATAAGGAATCCTGTTTTAGTCCTGTTGTTGGGGTTTGTGTCCCCCATGGCCAGTGAATGGACTACTGCACTGAGAGCATTATTTGTGAAGTGTCCATCTGCAACAATAGGACAAATAGAATGTGGTGTGTTTCCAGTTTTATGCCAAGGCCAACCATCACCCATTGACGGATGTTTCAGGTATGATTTTAACATTGTTGGGGTGCACTCCAGTGGTGAAAGATGTGTCTTTCTGCAGCTGGCAGCAAAAGTCATACCACCCTACTCACTGTGTGGAAACCTATTTCTTCAGTGAGTAGATGAGCAAACACAGAGTTAGATGAAAACCAAAAGAACTGTGGATGCTGCAAATCAGAAACAAAAACAGAAATTGCTGTAAAAGCTCAGTGGGTCTGGCAGCATCTGTGGAGAGAAATCAGAGTTAATGTTTCAGGTTGAGTGCTCCTTCCTCAGAACTGAGTTCCCACAGAGTTAGATGCTCTGGGATCCAAAGCCCAATATTGTTTTTTGCCAGAATCTTTAACTGATGCTCAGAATGCAGTAGCTCATGGTAGAATGTGTGTCATGTGCAATTTTGAATTGGTCTTCCTGTATTTTGCTGGAGGTGATGGTGTTTAGGGCTGGACTCAACTTTTTGTCATTCTTGCTCCTTTAATGTTGACTCCATTGCATTCCCAAATATCCTTTTGGCTTTCTGTTAAGAGTAGGTAAAAGTAGTGTACAGTAGAAACATAATACTAACGTGGCACTAGGAAGTTCAGGGGAACTGACAGACCTTTGGGTGTTTGCCCACAGATCTCTGAAGGTGACAGGACAGGTTAATAAAGTAGTTAAGAAGGCATACAGAACGCTTGCCTTTATGAGTCATAGCATAGGAGCACGGAGGTTATGTTGGAGCTATACAGGACTTTGGTTAGCCCACAGCTGGAGTTCTGTGTGCAGCTGTGTATACTGTCACCACACTATAGCAAGGATATTATTGCACTGGAGGTAGGGCACAGAAGATTCACCAGGAGATAGCAAAAACTGCAGATTCTGGAGTCAGAGTCAACATAATGTGTTCACTAGGATGTTGCCCGACATGGAGCATTTTAGCTATGAAGAGAGGCTAGATAAGCTTAGGTTGTTTTTTTTTTAAAGCAGAGAAGCCTGAGAGAGATGTACGAGACTGAGGGGCATGGACTGGGTAGATAGAAATCAGCTGTTCCCCTGAGATGAAGGTTCATTAACAAGGGGGCATAATTTTAAGGTGAAAGGGATTTGAGGGAAAAAATAAATTGGTGTTTGGAGGAAACATTCCAATATTGTCAGTTTGTGTTGAAGCTTGTAATGTATTGTAGGGTTTGCGAACCAGTGCTTTGTCTAGAGTTAGGTGGAAGTGCATTTTTTTTGTTTGTCCCCATGTGTTCATGGCAGGCTTTGTATCCACCAGAACCACGTACTCATGGATACTACTCAAGGTCATGTTGGGAATGTGGGAAGAGTTCCCGATTAAATCTTTAATAACTCAGGAAGTCCAACTGGAAAAGAGCAGTTGTTAAACACCAAAATAGAGCCACTACTCCTGGCATACATAGGCTAGTCCCAGCCCGCAACAGATCTGAAGACTTATCCCTAGGTTATGTTGTTGGCTGAGGACTCAACTGCAGTTACTTGCATCTGAGCTGTGTAGTTCTGTCTGAAATTTGGGAGACTGAGTTGTGCTTTTGGAGGTTCAGGAAATTAATATTCGTGGTTGTTTGCCTTCCCAAAGCGTCTTGGAGAAATGTCTGTTCATGTTGTGGAACGCACAAGCTAGTACTTCCCCCAGGTGTTCAATAGGTTTCATAGCCAATGTTAGTCTCTTCACCAACACAAGCTTAAGTAGACCATAAATCATATTGATCTTTGAAGATGATGCAATTTGTCAACATGATGCAACTATATTGATTGTAAAGCATTTTGGGGTATCCTGAGGTTAAGATAGGTGCAAATAAATGAAACCAGTCTGTCTTGTCTTTATAGCTGATTGCTGAACAGACACAAATAGCCACCTGCAATGCACTCCTCTTCATTTCAAATATTTCTCTAACACTTCATTAATTTCTTGTCTTGTTTAACCAGGGAGTGAAACTGTTGTCTTACTTGTATAAGGAAGCTTTGAATAACTGTAGCAATGAGCACTATCCAGTGCTACTCTCTCTGTTAAAAAGCAGCTGTGAACCATATACAAGGTAACAAAAATAATTGAACTTTCACTGTTTCACCTCAATTAATGTATTTTGCAGTGTAGTTTCTTATTGCTTTGTTTCCAGCTTTAAAATGTGTTTTTTTTTCAGGTTTGTCTATGACTGGGTTTACAGTGGCATTTGCAGGGATGCATATGGAGAGTTCATGATCCAGGTGAATGAGGACTACCTTAACTTTAGAGGTATGGCAGCACAAATTAAAACGTACACACCAGAAAATATGATTGCAACTTCCTTACAAACAAAGTTTAATTGCTTCTATTAAGTGATGATTTTTTCAGGAGCATTCCTGCACTGTGATGGTTAAAGTCTGTGTAAAAGAATGATCCAACACAGAAGGAAACCATTTGGCCTGGTGTTTCTGTGCTGGCTTTTTGTCAGAATAATATTGTGCAACACAGAAGTAGGTTTTTCAGCTCGTCAGACCTGCACTGGCCCTTTCAAAGCATCCCACTGCTCTTTTGCTTCCCTACATGCCAGCATTTCAAGTATATCTCTGATTTGCCTTCTAAAAGTTATTATTGAATTTGCTACCATCATCTTTTTAACCAGTGCATCTGAGATCTTGGATCAGTTCAGTGGTGTTTGTATTTTTTTGTGAAGTCATCTGTAATTGTAATTTTGATGCTTTGGAGAAAATAAATAAAGTGCTGCATGGTGTTTGTAGTTCTACAATCCACTGTCCTAACTGCTATTCTGGAGGAGAAGATAGGAGAAGGAGCAACAGTAGAATTGTATTAAAGGAACAACTTTGCTGGGCTGACATTTCTTTATATTTCTTCGAAGCTGCTTTGAATTAGAGCGTATAGAAACTTTTGTGTTTCACTGGATCTACCAATAATTTTAAAGAAAAGATTCTTGATGTTGAGCGAGGAAAAAAGTTTGATTTTTCCCTTACGGCTTTAACAGCTAGATGAGAAATCACTAGGTAGCAACGAGAACCCTATTTCCTTGCATTTGCATCTAATGACTAGCTAATCTCACTTCATTTCTATGTGGTTTGTGATTCTCCCAGGTGCTGGTGAGAAGCCAGATGGCACCAATTCCCAACTCATAAATTTGAACGGTTACTTGGCAGATGAAGTTCGGCAATTGCTTCTCAGGCTTCCACTTTCACCGTCATCCTCCCGCATTCCATTGCACACTTCATGGGCAGCAACACTTGCATCCTTTGTCCACACAAGTTGGCAGCGGCATAACATCACATCATTGTGGCCGATCACGACTTACTCAAAAACTACGTCAATACTTCGCTATTGCACATTGGAGCTTACCACCATCCTACTTTGCCTTGCCTCTGTCAGGTTGCTGTTCACTTGAGAGCACATGATTATCTCAGGTATCTGCACAGGATGCATCTCTGGGCCCTTCGCTTGTTTTCTTAGTAATTGCTCACTTTGTACTTTGCTCACAGCATTTCTGTCTTACCTTGCTTCTTAGCGCAGTCAGAAAGCCAGGAAGATTGTTACAGTTGCCAGCCCAGAACAGTCAAAAGGGCTGAACATGTTGCTTACAGCACCATGCTATGTTATTATCACACCTCCAGCATATACTGGTAGCTTGCGAGGCAGGCACATTGCATGTACTTCAACCAACCAACATATCTTAAAGTATAACGTGAGTGAAGGGGCACTATGGTCAGGGGTGCTTCCAATTTTTGTCCAGAGGATTGGCCACAGCTAATCCGAGGGGTTTGGCTAGTAGGTGTCAAGGGAAATATCGGGAACAGTCCATGCTGTGGGGAAGGTGACAAACTCAACTATGGGATTCAAGCAATTATGGTGGAATGTAGTGATGGGATCTGATAAAGCTTGGGAGGGGGTGGAGTACCACAGGAAAGGGTTTTGCAAATCATGACCACCGTGGTGACTGGAGGTACTGAGTGAGATAAATGTCGCTGTAAGGGCTGTTAGTGGCAGTACAGGAGCAGAAAAGCAGTTGAGACATCCCGAGTGAGAGTAGGAAGCACAGAGGGCAAGAAGGCTTCGTAGTTTGAGAGGATGAGGTGGGTGAGAGCTGTTGAGTGAAGATTGCATGGAATAAGGATAGCGGAATGCTATTCTTCTTGGTAGGAGGTATGTGCAACAGCAGAGTTACAATGTGTGTGAGGTAGCAGAGGGAGAGGTGATATATAGCTTTGCAGAGAGCAGGAGGTGCTCTGCAAAACTATGTACCACCTCTCCCTCTTCGGCAGTTGGATGAAACCAAGCGCCTATCCTCCATCACCCTGCCTACCAGGGCCTCCAGGTTCCTGACTGTGAAGCAAGATACTGAGTTGCCTTTCTGGTCATTTCCTCTACAATAGCGATTGAGCAGCAGATTTGGAATGGCAGTTCCTTGCTTGCAACACTTGACCTGGTGAGCAACTGGGGTTACAGTTTGGGACCTGTGGCGTGAATGCCAAAAGTCTCAGCACCTGCCTCTGCGATTGCATAATTCGACAAGAAGGGCACCTAGGGAGATAACTGCATAAGTAATGAGATGAGCAACAGCAAATTGTGTGACAAAAGTCACCATGGCCCACCAAGGATAATCCGCCATGAAAATGACACTTGGGGCCGAAACTTCCATATTTTGGCTATTTCTTCTTTGACTTTTCTCTTTAATAATTATTTGATGTTAATATTATTCGATATAACAACTTTTGGATTCCTTGAGTAAGATATTTTCTATGCTGTATGTGCATTGATAAGGCATGTGGACATATAAATCCATTTCTCTTTCTATGTTTATCGTATGTGGCGGTTTTCAGATATTAGAAGTTTATTTCCTAACAGTACTTTAGAAAATTTATGGAGGTCAGTGTGGAAACTTAATGAAGTAAGAGAACATGGATGGACTGTAGTTATTTTCAACCATTATTCTAAAATTTATTTACCAGATAAACATTACTGGACCAATGGATATGTTCTAGCTTCTAAAGAGGTTGAAGAGTGTGTCCCACTTTTCCTTGCTCATGTGGCTTATGACATCTACATCTGTGGAAAAACTATTAACTTGTTGAAATTGTGCTCTCCAATGGTATGTTTTTTTTGGTTTATAAAAAGACATTATAGTAAATGAACAAGTTATTCTGTCTGTGGAATATTTTGTGTTTCTAATCATGTCCTTGCTGTAGCTGAATTTATGCATCTTCCACTGTTTAATCAATGTTCTAGATGCTATTATTGAAACTCTTTTTTTGCAATTTGCTTTGCATTTCATTCTTAATTGCTTTCTTCTTGTTTTGTGTCCTGGGTTTATCCTTCCTTCTGTTTGTCTTTGGTGTTTTTTTTAATTTTCTGGGCTCTTTCCCCACTAGCTTCACTGTAAGCTGAATGTGACCTCCACATACTCCAGCATTGCTGAATCCTGAAGATCTGTCCTACTAAAGATGTTAAACTGGTCCCTGAATCAGCCCTTTCTCAAATGCAATGCAATGCAAAAAATAGATGACATAATTCTTAGAGATAATACGAACTGCAGATGCTGGAGAATCTGAGAAAACAAGGTGT